TTTATGTATTGGTGTAACCCTTGCTGTCTTGAGTAGTGTCAGGAAAGTGCTAGTTTCCAGTGACTTGTTAAAAAGTAACGTAATAGCATGCGAAAGGACATGGGCCGCTCGCTTGCACAATAATGGTGGGATGTGAGACAGATTCCCCGAGTTATTTTTAAGTGACTTTATGATCGCGGTGACTTCCGTGGGCTCAGTTGGTACAAGATAGAAGGAATTTGGGAAATTCCCATCAAGGTAGTCCCGAGCATGGGCATTGGTACGTGGGATTTTACTGGCAAGATTAGATCCTATGTTTGTTTGAGAAGAAGTCGTTTATCTTGTTAGCTGTATCAGTGGGATGCAGTGGTGTTTCATGAGGTTTAGTTAGAACAACATTCTTGTTTTTTTTCAGTTTGTGGGTCCCCAGAATTTGGGAAAGTGTTTTCCAGGTCTTTTTTATATCTCCTCCTCTTGTGTCAGTGAATCTGCTGGAGAAAGTACAGTTGTTTTGGCTTTCTTTATAATTTGGTGAAACTGTTGAATATTTTTTTAAGAATATCTTTGTGTATTAAGCCCTGTCTATATGCTTTTCATATTGGTGTTTCTTATCAATGATTTCAGAATGCTGCTGGTTAGCCATGAGAAAACCAAGCCGTATTCGTGATCTTTTTTTCGTTTTTATAGGACAATGTTTGTTGTATAGCCCTAAGTATTTTGTTAAGAAAAATGTCTGTCCAATCGCAATACCATTGGCATTGGAGGAATTCTGTAGGCCAGTCAACAGTCTCTAGGTCTGCGTGAAATTCCTTATTGAGGCCCCGTCTTTGAGTCTAAAATGAAACTTTGTTGTATTCGAGTTTTGCTTACTAATGTTTGTTAAGAGGAAGGTTGGGGAGTGGTCAGTAGTGCTGTCTGTGATTATCCCCGATTTAAGGGGGGCTAGTATATTGGTCCATATGTGGTATATTATGGTTGCACTTGTCTCAGTCAGCCTGGTTGGTTTTTTGTTAATTGTTGGTATGAGAAGTGTGTTTTTCATATTGTTGATGAAATCCCGTTTACATCAAACATCTGGTAGGCCATGGTTTTATATTGAAGTCTCCAGCTAAGAGAAGGTGGTGCTTGTTCATTTGTCTGTTTGTTTTTAGTGACTTTAGATTCTAAATGACTTAAAAAACTAAGTGTTTTTGTGCCCCACTTTCCCCAAGTCATCTTCCCCAAAATTATTAATTAGGGGAAAATCTTTTTTGGAAAGGAACCAACAGATTTTTTCCCCTTTATTTGGTTCTGTCAAAACCCTTTTCCCAAAAAGCAACCCTAAACCCGGGCCCCCAAGAAAGTCACTAGCCCAAATTTTTTCCCGGTCATATTGTTTAAAATAAAAGGGTCAAAAGGGTTAAAAAATCCCTTTAAATAAAACATTTTCATAACTAGATCCCTTATAAAAATTCGCCCCTAACAGCTTACTGCACCCCTTTATAAAGTTTGGGGGCTAAAAAATTTCACACCAAAAATTAATTTTGTCTTTCCCTGGGAGAAACTGTACAAAACAGATTCTTGTTAAATTTTTAAAAATTCTTTATCATTCAAAGACAGCAATTTAAATTTTCCCTCTGACATGCATCCCACTCCACAAACCCTTCCTTTTGGGGATTTTATCATGTGGAATGGGTTTAAAACCCCTTTGTATTTTTGAATTCGGGAAGGGCCCATTTCCTACTTTCGGGTTTAAACCCAGGTCTCTTTTAAACCCAATAAAAACAAAATTTCCCTGCACTCCCCAAGGAAATTCTTACCCTTCATCTATCAAAACCCCCTTGGGACTCCTACTCCAGGGGGACCCTAAACCAACGATATTAATTTTTTTCCTGAGGGGCTCATCTTTTGGGTCGAAATTATGGGTTAGTCGATTTAATTTCCCCCATAAGAAAAAAAGGGAAAAAAAAAAATTAATCCTTTCCCTTTACACCCCAAAGTATTAAAAAAAAAAAATTTTACCGCATGAAAATTTAAATTTTTAAATACACAAAAAAACCTTAAAGAAGACATGTCAATTCCATACACTTCCCTTTATTGAAGATCTGGTGATGATTGATGGGATAGGAGGAGGGAAGTGTTGGATGGTGTTAGTTTTAGAAGGGGAACCCCCCTTCCATTAGGGACTTGAGGTTTTTTCAAGCCCTTTTCCGAGGTTATTTCCCCTTCTTTTTTTTAATCCCCACTAGGACCATTTTGAGAGCCCCACTGGACCTCTGTAAAACAACATATTGCCCTTAGAGCACTGTACCTCCCTTGTTTACGAGTTTATCAAAAAGGGGCCCACAACTTTTGTCATTGTAATATTCCCCAGCAGGGGGCTTGCAATAGCTGTTTTTAGGGTGTTTTTTTCATCCAAAAAAGGTTTTTGAAAGTTCCCCCTTTTTGCACAAAATTTCCTTAATTTTGAAGTGGGGCACAAGGGATTCCAAAAATTTTGGCTAGGGCCGTCTCGGGGGTTTTACCCCCAAAACCCCTTCAA